GAGAGAGAGAGAGAGAGAGAGAGAGAGAGAGAGAGAGAGAGAGAGAGAGAGTGTGTCGCAGTGTCAAAACTTCATACATTTCTGTGTTCATTCTCATTCTGATGGAAAATTCACTTCTTCAATCACGTACGTTCCCCCTGCCGCGGCACGTTACCTTGTTAACGCTAAAGATTTTGAAAACTTTGACGTGGTGAAGATGCTGAAAAATTTGAGCTCCGCTCCTCCCCCATGTTTTGTTGGGTGTCTATTCAACATTTCAGCACCTATCTAGGCCACCAGAGTGGCCGGGGACTACTTGCCCGGCCGTGCCAAAAGCAATTTTAAAAATAAAAATTGCTCTTTAATTTGTTTTTTTATTTAAATTTGGTAAAGAATTTCAATGTGACCCTGAGGTAAGAGTTATTCAGTTTATTTTTCTGCATAACATAATTTGTTTTCAGTTTTTCTTTTTTTTTCTTTTTTTTTTCTTTTTTTTTTTTGCTGGGACCTCCTTTGGTCTGTGCACGACCGGGCCGCCCGGGCCAACAAGGTGACCCGGGCGGCCTGGCTAGTAGCTTAAGCACCTGTGCAAATGTTGAATATTAGAGGACCCATTAAAATTCCCACAGAACGTCGGATGGAGGGACAAGGGAGGGAGAAATGAAGGACGGAGGAGGGAGCAAGGAGAGAGGGAGGGCGGAGGGAGGGGGAGGGGGGAGGGAGGAGGGAGGAGGGAGGAAGGAGGAAGGAGGGAGGAAGGAGGGAAGGAGGGCGGGAGGAGGTTAGGCAGAGATGGGGAAGAAGGAGAGCGGAGGGAGCCTGGAGGGAGTGCGGAGAGAACAACAGAGGAGGGAGTGTGACAGTAGGGATTGCATGCCAGCAGGGGACAATCTAACAACGGCTTGGCGGCAAACTAGATGGTGGCCTGGTGACACACGTGGAAGATGCAGCAGCTTTTGCACACGCACAGACACGCTGCAGAAGAATGCATACATGTCGAGGGGCAGGCGCAGCTTTGTTAGCGTGATGCTGGGCAGTGCATACCAGCAGGTGACGGTACGGCAATGGTGCAACAACCACAAGACGGAAACCTGGAGTGCAGCAGGCGTCACGAGGGGAAGGTGTGCCAGCTTTGGCAGAGTGGCACCCCCCCGTCACTTGGCAGGGTAGCTTCCCCTTGGAGGCATCGGGCCAATGGGGGGACAGAGGGCCTCTAATCTGGGCAATTGGACCCATAGTACCGGGCCAACAGCCTAGATAAACACGCCATCTTAAATTGTAAGATCGACATGTGACTGGAAGAGCCTAAATCGACACACGACCAAAAGGGGCCAATGACCTAGATTGAAGATTTGCTACATGGGTGTGACACTCAGGGGCTTGCCCCAGTAGGAGTAGTGATTTCAAGATTTGTTACATTAGCCATTTGTTAGTGAGGGGATAAAATGTGTTCAGAGGCCCGCAGAAGGGTCTTACAAACTGCCAGTTTAACCAACCAATAAGTCTGACGGACTCTGACCCTAGAAGAATCTCCACTCAAAACCAAGAAAATGTCCTAGTAGACTTACGGACCACATGTGGATGCAGCGGAGGAACAGTTTAACTCCAGGTGGTTTGCCAGTCGTGGCGTAGACTAGTAA